AAATAACATTCCTCCCAACATTCTCAGTAATTCCATTTTTAACTAAAACTCTGACCAAGAGACAGTAACAAATTGGTTTAGTCTTCTCACTATTCTAGGTATTCATAACTTAAAAACCTGCCCCTATCTACTGAGATTTTTGTATACTTCATAATGATGCTATTGTCACTTAATTCCCCATGACATCTTAGTTCTTAAATTGTTTACAGATTTATTCCTCCCTGCCCCCAGTGCTAGTTAAACTACTTCTTAACTCTACAAAAGCAGCAGAAAATCCCCAGTCGAAATTTTTCAACGCTAGATTATCTTCATGAAATAAATATTTTTAGGTATTTTGCCCTCTGACATTTGAAACCAGACTGCCACCTTCCTACAGGGCTGCTTTCTGAGGCTCAAAACTAGCCTGGGATTATACAGAGAAGACTCAGCATGGTTTTCTAAACAACTTATTCATGCCATGCCACCCACACAAAACAGTTTGGGGCTTTCCTCGCCTCTTCAGTCTTGACACTTCCTTTTTTATTCCCCTGTCTCTAGTCAGTGTGGCAATGTGAGGCTTGGCTTGTGACTCTTTGGATATGTTTGATGTTATAAGCTGATACACAAATGCCTGGAAGGATTGCCAAGGTATGCTTGCTACACCTAGAAATTAAGGAGTTTTTGTATGCTTGAGTGGAAACTCAAGTCCAGACTTGAATTTTAGGTTCTTCACATTGCTCTGTGTGTGTTGTAGCATTCCCATAAAGGGGAATGCTGTGTGAGTGTGTTTCATAGCATTCCCCAGGGGAAATATCCAAATTGTAACTTCTTTGTAATCAAAGATACAGTGAATTCCAAGTATTTGGCACAAGATCTACTAGAGAGAAAAGTGGAAGTGCCCCCCTATTAGGCATTTTCAGCCTCTGAAATGCTGTGGGTACAATTATTCTCCTTGATGCTCAAGTATTTAATTTGCTGGAGTAGTGCAGTGCAGCTGACGGGTTGTTACAGGCACCACAACATGTCTCAGCAGCGCAGCTGGTCCTGGTCCCTCATAGCAGTGGCCAACCAGCACAGGAGACCCGACTCCTTCGGCTACCGGTTTAGCTCTTTGCAGGTTGTAGGCATAGGAGGCCTCACAGGCTCGACTGACAAGGATTTCTGTTTGAAACAGACAGCAGATAGGTAGTTCAGGGCTGATGGTGAGATTCAAAAGTGAGACATTTCACAGGGAAGATATTGGTTATGCCTTAAAACATTTGTTCAGGAGAAAATATCTAAAAAAACAACCAAAAAGAAACAATAAAAAGCTGTGCAGAATGCCAGCGGCCATTAGAGGTTGAAGGTTTATTTTCAGAGCATCGTTTTTAGAAACATTACTTCAAAGAATATCATCAGTCTAAAGAAAAATCACACCTTATACTTTTTTGTTCTGTTTTCAGAGTGGGTTTTTTTCTGGAAAAACAGGGTTGATCTGAGTGTTGGACCTTGCTACCTCTAGTTAATTTAACTACCTCTTACTTAATGTGCCTTATTTATTTTATCCAAGTTAGTAATATATATATATATATGTTTTTTTAGAATTAATTTTAGAATCTTTTTTAATCTTTTTTTTAATCAAGTATTAGAATCTTTTTTACTGTATATAGTTGCCAATGCTTGCATTGTACCCATTAGTCCCCAATAGCATAGACATATGTTTTATCCAAAGCTGTGATGTATGTATTCCTTAGAAATTATTGCATTTAACCATTATAATGTAGTGCATAGGGAGGGGGGAGATGTGGGTAGTTAGGGCCTGGCGGCTGGAAGATATCGCGCTGTACGGAAAGCATAGGGCCCCTCTCCTAATAGCCAATAGCGTTTGATTTACGACGTAAGCAGACGGATGTGACGTTATAAACTCAAGCTATAAAACGCCATGTCACCTATCAATAAACGCCATTTGCCGTCCACCACATTGGTGTCTGTGAGCTGATGGTCCACGCAGACCCAAAGGTGGGGTCGCTGAGCCGTTCCTGAACCAGGTCGCTACGCCTCTGAAGGCAACAAAGCCCTGTGCTTTCAGAAGAGCTCTCTGAAAAGACACTGAACACTGTGTGTTGAGGTTGGATATTGATACTACAATCCTTGCTCTGTGATGAATAATTCAAATGAAAGTGGCTGGTGGGCTACAAATAATTAGAACCGATTTTGTGAGTATATTGTATAACATGGGGTAACAGACAGCAACAAGCCTTTTCCAGCTTTGTGCCCTCTTTGGGATGGAGTTGAGGTGATGGAAAATTCTCATGAAATTTCCAGAAAATACCAAATAATCTCCTAACACCAAATGAGTATTCCCTGTCCTGGGTGGAGCTGAGAGTTGGAGCTAAAGTTTGACCTCAGAGGAGAAAAAGTGCTCCTATTTTTTGTTAGTTTTTAGTGGATAGCATTGAGAAGCAGTCTATGTAATAGTACTCATTGGGAAGACTACAAACAGCATGATCATTAAGCTGCTAGTATTTAGGAAAAGTTTTCTGCAGCCTTCCTTAATTCCCACCTTAGAAATTTCAGCATGAATTGCATATAGTCCTAAGCTTTGGATATGTGATATCCTTGTACCACAGAAGAAGCAAGCACCTTTTTCCCTGCGTGGGAGAGCATAAATAGCTATGTCCAATGGACAAACATGGACTCGGAACATTTTTGCATTCTTCTGGATAGTGGTCAAATGAAATTTGAAAGCCATTATACTGTCCGGTGATTTTACTGAATAGCTGATGCCGACAGCTGGATTGCTGGGAGCTGCCTCCAGATCGTCTGGGAGGTTTCTGAGCTTTTGATTTGATCTTAGAACCATCTTCCTATGTAAATAAAGGGTAAGCAGTAGTTAAGAATGACTACATTAAAGTATTAGATGTTTTAATAGGTCATGTGTTTCTTCATTAAAGAGCCTTTGAAAATTAAAATAAAGTTCATCAGCCCAACCCAGTTCTGTGGTTAATGCTTCTTCCTGTTTTGCTTTGATCTAGTTAGTTACTTTAGGCATTCATAATCTTATTGGGGGGCAGCGTATGAAATGTACATCAAGGGAAAGTAATTCTGCAGAGCACACCACATACTTGTGGCTTTGCATGTTACTGGTGCCTTGAAAATGTCTTGGTTTGAACAGTGTGGAGACAAGATGAGGTCCTGCTCACAGTTAATTTGCGCAATCGCCTATGGCACACACTGGCGGGGCAGTCACTTCCCTGAAAGGTCGGTCACAGGGTGCAGTGACAACAGGAGTATGAGCTATAGAGAGAGACGGGAGGAATCAGCTGCTGCGCACATCAGCACATGAAGGAAAAAGTGGGATGTGTTCAGAAAATAGGCGAGCACTGCCAGTATGTAGTCAAAAATTACAATTGCTTTTGTTTTTACCTGTGTGTGTTTAAACTAGATAAGCTTTTTTTATGCCTTCTTTTAACTCAGTGCAGAGTATTGCGGGTGAGTTATAACTGAGAATATAAGGCTTTAAAACACTAAAAACACTAGCATTTTACAGCTGCTGTGTGTTGATATTCCAGGATCTCCTGTTTCTCAAAGAAATTTGAAAGCACAGTTGTGCCCTGAGCTCAGTACCTGCTTTTCACATGATAGAATGTTTTAACTGCTCTCTTTCTTTTTTCTCCCTTGGTCCTAGGTCCTAATTAAGCAGTACCTGTAAGAGCAGTAACTGCAGTAATCATTTCCATTTGCACTGATCTAATCTGAAGCCGCAAGCAGCTGTGATAGTTATGCTGTGAAGGATTTTTCCCCTTTGGCGTATAGTGCACAGGCTGTCCCTCGATTAGGTTACAAGTGCTTGAAGGCTGTTGACTTTTGTTCTGTTTTATGAGAACGCTCTTCTTTTTAACAGTTTAATTTCTCAGATTTGACTCTGAATGATCAGCTAGTGAAAGTAAAGTATTTATGCATCTGATTACCTGTTTATCTGGTCAGAGCAGCTCTGAGATAATACAAAACCCCTGTTCTGATCCCTGAGCCTCTGGAGATTCCATACTCTGCACTGTTGTCCTCTTCCTGCCAGATTACACACAAGATGTGGCAGCAGATGTTATCAGTATTTTTTAAGGGGAAGCATGATCGCTGCATTGCTTACCAACATCCCAGAAACACCCTGCATGTATGAAAATTACTGTACTATGGAAATAACCCTGGGTTTTCATGAGGCTGATTTGGGTGTGTTGCTAGGCAACACAGGGTAACAAGGGGTTTGTATGTATTCTTTAGGTAGGTTCAGGCAAGTCTCTATAGAGATTTCCAGGAAAGAAGTGAAGATGTGAGAGAGGCTGATCAACTGCAACACTGAAGTTAAGCCTCACAAACTTAACTTTCTTTGAGAGGAGTTTTTTGAGAAAGAAATTGGATTAGACCCAGGAATGACGTATCCTGTTTGATTTCTTTTCCCCTTGCATGCTGACAAGCTTTGTGTTTAGGCAGGCTTTTGTTTCTGACTCCAAGTTGCTTTAAAAGATTTGGGAGTGTGTCTCGGGGTGTCGAGGGTCATGTGCTTAGCTTGATTGGCTCGGTTTGCTTGCGAGTGCTTTGTTCTTCCCACCACGCTCAGGTCGGTTGTGCAACATGCCCCTACCATTTAAAAAAAAAAATTTAAAAAAAAATGCTGAGTAATGCCAGAGGTTTCTCAAATGGCTGATGCAAACCTGGAGAATTTGCATCATCATTCAGCTGGAGTAACTTGGTATGACAAGAGCTTAAATACAAGTCCATGCGGAAGCTGAGCTGGTTTCCAATGCTAGGGCAGTACCAGCTTGCAGTGTGAAAGAGCAGGTGTTTCTGAGCACTGCTCAGATAGCAGTAAAGGCTGAAATACACTTTAGGAGCTTGCTACCTGTGCGTAGGAGCAGCTGGGAAGATAAGAGAGGGCAGAGGAAGAGACTAAGCAGCTGGCTACACAGAGTGGAAAAAAACCCTTGAGTTTCTGCTGCAAACTTTTTTGCCTGTGCTTGCCGTCAGTGTGCTGGTGGCACTGTAGCATGTTTAGGAAAGCTGCTGTAACCACGGTCTCTAATGGGAGTTACTTGCAGGGGCAGACTAATGGCAGGTTGCCCTCTACGGACAGCGGACAGCCAGCCCGGGAGAAAAAAGTTGTGCTGAAGAAGAAAGTGACACTTTTGAGGGGGATATCCATCATAATTGGCACTATCATTGGAGCTGGCATCTTCATCTCTCCCAAAGGTATTCTGAAGAACACAGGCAGCGTAGGCATGTCCTTGATTGTCTGGACAGTGTGTGGTATCCTCTCGCTCTTTGGTAAGTTGCTTAAAAGTTTCTAATTGGTCCAGAGGGGCGGCTGGTGAATTATCACTATTATTTGTCTGATTTTGCTATTGGATATCAAGGCACAGAGTGGAACTTGAGGACCAATAGGGGTACAGAATTTTTTTGCTGTGTGATAGGTTGCATGGAGGGCACGGAGGTACGCAACCCCTGTCCCCCTGGCGCCTGATCAGTGAAGATTGAAAGCGTAAATTATTGTTTCTTATGGGTCCCTGAAGAAACAGGAAAAGTAATTGTTCATTTTATGCCATACAATGTGCTATATGTATAATATTTTTCTTCTGGCTATAAGAGGTAGTTTACGGTTTGCTTGTAAGGCCCCTGGCAGCTGGGGATGCAGGTCACTCCGTTCGAACACTGATGAAATGTTTACACAGCTCAACTTAGTTCCCCAGAGGCTAGAACAAGGTCTGAGAGGAATATTTCCCGGTGGACGTAAGCTGTATTGGCATGAAAGGAAGCAAAATAATAACACTAATAACCTTTCTCCCCAGTCTTGTATTACTGCTCTTTATTCCCTGCTCACAATGCTGCTGTGGAAGATTCTGCTGCAAAAAACAGTGAGACAGAAACAAATTTGTAATGTGAGTTTTATTCCTGGTCTGCCTATTGTGACAATTTTTACTAATTTTATGTATTTTTGAACAGTATTAAGTTCTGGAAAATTGCCAGTTTATTTGTTTTGCACACAAATCCCCCGTTCAGAGTGAAAACCCCACCCTGGCCTCTGCAGGACAGAGGGTCCATTGACCTACTTAATGAGTTAATCTGAAAGAAGCTGAAAAACTAACATAAACATTGCTTTATTTAAAACAGAAACAACTTGTTTTCTGGCAGGAGGTAAAGAGGACAAACATGGACTAACACGTGTCTGCTTAATAGGTGGGACATACAGATGCCACCCTGTGTAAATTGGCTCTGAGATTAATAGAAACATGAGTGTTTACAGGCTAAACCCACCCAAGCCAAACAGTGCAAGAAAGTTAGGACCCGTTTTGGTCAAATGTTAAATGTATTGGTACAATGGGCAGCATAAATCTGTTATACAAATGTGGAAGTCCTGCCTGTTACCAAAATTCTCCTAGAAAGAAAGACCTTAAATACAATTTGTAACCCTGTCAGAAGACCTTGATCTTTAGATTTTGTCAAAACAGAATTTGCTTAAGCACTGCATTTTTGGCTTTATCTTTAATAGTAGTAATTTTCTGGCTTTGAAGTAAAGTCTGTGAAAAAAAAATAGATCTCTTTTATCAGGTGGATTTTCCAGGTAATTTTTCAGATCTCAAGATGTGAAGAACTGTGTAATTTGGTCCAACAAAAGATACTATCTTTTTCTAAATGGACCTGTTACAGTTATTTTTTTCATATTTTTTTATGCCATGGGTGTTTTTAATTCCTTGCATGACTGAATAATAGTGAAATCTCTTGCAAAGATCAGTTAAAATCTTGCTGAGGCTGTGTGTATAACATGTATCAAAACACAATTTCATTTCATCCTGAACCTCAACAGAAGAGGCTGGCAAGAGAAAACCCATCAGTAGTTTTTTTTTTTTAATGTGGCTGTTAGAATTCCTTTAAAGTATGTTTTCAGCTAAGCTGAAAAATAGTAGATAAAAGCTACCACACTTTTGCAAAGCCCCAAAGCAAGCAAATGAACAAGGATGGAATTTATCATAATGTGGTACAGCTTTAATGGGCTTGTACGTGTTACGTGGTTTTGACAACTGTAGTTTTCACTTTAAAGTGTTGCAGCATAAAAGCATGCAGGGAACAGAGCCAAAACAAGTTCATATATGTCGCTGATCTTAACTTATATGTGATGTGGTGTTTACAAACTTTATTTCTATTTTCCTGTGACTTCTCAGACTCTCCTAGAAGGGCCACCTCCATTTATTGGACGTGGTGCACCTCTCCTCTACTGATGCTCCACCTGTGGAGATAAGAAGCCATTGGCTTTGTGAGTGGGTGATGGCTCACTGAGCAACAGTAGCAGATGGCACATGGGCAAAGAAGGCTTCATGCAGGTCCTTGTAGCTGTGACATGCTGTTTTCTGCTCCACGATGGCAGAGGCTGCATGTTGTGCCTGCAGCAGCCTCAGGGAGCTCCTCAGAGCTGTTACTTGCTGGGAATGCTCCAAAGGGGCCTGAACCACTTCTGCGTGAACTTGGCCTCCCTAATGCAGCAAGCTGATGATGATTTTCATTTTATTTTAGCCAGTGTAAATGCACCAATGGATGAAATGAGCCTCCTGCTATGAAAATGTGAAGTTGTCTGTATTTAAGGCAATGCAGAAATGAACTGAGCTTTCATTGTACTGGTAGTACGCAAAAACACTACACCAGGGTTAAGCCACCCCCTGATTTCTTTATGTAAGATGTTGGTAATACTATTGAGAAAAATTCTTAATCTGCAGTTCCTGCTTCCAAATTTTGGACAGTTGATTGCTTCACCTGTGGCTGAGGAGAGGGAACACAGTTTTCGGGCTTTCCTTTGGAGGCTGAGCCAGACATCTCTAAAGCCGAAAGGAGCTACTCATCATTTGATAGCAAGCAAATGTGTCAGAAGGCTTTCATTTAGCGATGCAGTCAGGCTGGCTGGGGAGCCAAGGTAGCTGGTGTGACACAGCATTTTGTCATCTATCTTCATGAGGAACGGATGAGTAATGAAACGTGATGACAGCAAATAGTTTGATCAGTGACACACAAATAAATGTAACTGGATATGTGTACAGTTTGGTTAACTGCAGGTCTAGCTGAATGAATTAAAACTTACCAAATTTCTTGAAAAAAGGATAATTAAAATGTATCAAAAGTAGTTGTGATATCACGACAGCTCGCTCTGTTGCTTAGTTTACAAATGTTTTGAAAGTTATTTCTGGACATGTCTTGTGATGCCACAGTTTAAATCTCACAGGTGCCCTCTGCTATGCTGAACTAGGAACATGTATTAAGAAATCTGGTGGTCACTACACCTATATCCTGGAGGCCTTTGGCCCGTTACCTGCTTTTGTGAGAGTCTGGGTTGAATTACTCATCATTCGGTAAGTGTATCGTGGCTTTTCTGTGTTTGTTTTCTGATGGCAATGCACTTTTCAGTCATAATGAAAAATCTCCAATATGTGATGTGCAAAACAAATCAAATCTATCTTGATCAATGAGCTATGTTCTTTTAGTATGGTTGCTTTGGAGAATGCAACAATGCTGTTTTGTTTGTCAGCACTGAAACATTGAAAAAGGCATATGTGCATGTATGGCAGTGAAAAAGATTCTAATAAAACTGCGTGACACAAAATTCAGCCACTTGCTTTAGTTTTGCAAAGCTTACTGTATCCGTTAATGTTGCTAATAATGCTAATACTCATGCCTATATACTGTGTAGTGGAAAAGGAAAGTAATCTTCACATTTTCTTAGTCTTGGCACTAGCTTTTGGAGCAGTTGCTATTGTCTGTGGGTACAGAGATAACTCCTGATGACCTCTTGCCTAGCAGTTTTTAGATTTGGGAGCATCATGTGTTCTCTACTTGTCCGTTCGTGTCCCCATTTTTTGTTTGTGTGAGGCACTGGAAAAATGGAATCTTGATTACTATGAAAAGCACTAACTCGCCAAATAAAGCAACATTAAGTCTCACATATCTAAAATGTCCAAATTGTTCTTTTGGCATGTAAGTCTGTGGCTCATGCAGCCTGTGACACTGTATAGGTGAATTACAATATGAAGATGACAAATCATCAAATCACATCAAATAAATTTCATACTGTAAATTGATATTTTATCAAACTCTTTGAATTTTATATATATATATATATATTTAACAATACTGCTGAGGCTGGAGAGCTTGGTACATGTAGAAATGCAAAATTATTTTGGGAATGTTTCATTCCTGCCTTAGGCTAGATAGCACTCCTTTTCCCTGTCCTCTGCAATCAGCAAATTAGTCACAAAAGCACAGGCATCATTTCAAATCACAACTATGTTTACATAATATTGACAAGTTTTAGCATAGGCTGTTGAGTTTAAAAACAATGACAGTGCTGAGTCATTACGAAACCATAAACCCTTATCTTGTTTCCGGAGGAAACCTTTGTGTAAGTCAGATGGTCCTTTACATCCTTCCCACCCATATGTAACCTTTGAATTAACAGCATACTTTGCATCAAATGGGATGAAAGAGCAGATGTCTTAACTGTATTAACATTTCCCCAGTAAGGAAAACCAGATAGAGGAAGCAGACGTATGTTTTCACTGAGAAGCACAATGCTGTGAACATAGCTATAGCATTGCACATCACAGAATCAACAGAAGAGAGTAGTGTTAGAAATCTCCCTCTTAATCTGCACCTTACTAGGCAGTGGGACCTTATTAACCTAGGCACAAACACTCACAAGAAACAAGGCTTCATAAATTCCTCTCCTCAAAAAAAATTCTTTTAATGGATGACAGTGTCCCAGGAGCGTCATGAAAACACTCTTAGTCATGGTGATCTGTCCCACACCCAGAAAATAACCTCTTGCATGGGAAGAAACATCAGTGGATTCTTTAATCATCAGATCTGAGAGGCAGCGTACTTGTTATAACTTGCGATGATCAGAGCAGTGCTGCTGAAACTCCGTGTAGAGTTTTATACTTGACTCCTGTATTGGTAAACTAATTGGCTGCTGCTATCAAAGAAGTTGAGACCTAATATATATATAGGTTTTTTTTCAGTGGGTGATGTTGCCCGCACACTTCTCAGCTAAGCCATTTTTTCCTCTGAAAGTGTGCAGGTTTATCACACCCACAGACTGGTGGAGCAGCTACAACCAAAATACATATTTCCTGCTTTCATATATCTTTTCAGCCACTATTTTACAATCTAGGACACACTGAACTCTGCCCACATACTGTTTAAACTGTGCCAGCATCACCCGCTGTTCAGAACTGCCTTACTCTGCACTCCTCCTCACCCAGTATAAGTAGGAATTTTTTTCTCCCCAAAAGTCAGGTTGTGGGTATATTACATACCTCTAAAAAACCAAACAAACCAACAACTAGTTTTCAAACAAGTGTAGATGACTGTGTGAATGTGTTGTCTGTAGTGCTTAACTGTGGTGGTTGCTATCCACAGGTTGGGTAAGAGTGGGCTGCTAAATAAGTGACTCACTCAACTGTGGTATGTGCTGGCAGCATTATACCTGCTCCTTTCCTGGTGGCTTTTTGTGCTCATTGTCCTGAAATCAAAGCTGCCAATTCACTTTCTGCCCACTCCTGAACACACAACTGGTAGAAGAGTGCCAGTCTGTCTTGTGTATTTGCAGTAAAAAGGAAAATGCCCCTTCCTGCAACTTCCACCTCAACTGATCAGCTACACTGCCAGCAACGTCTACCCTAAATGTGGGACTACAAGAGACGTTTCTTAGAGCTATAATTTAGAAACTATGTTTTTAAAAACATAGTGGTGTGGATAGCAGCAACTGCGCAACATCCAGTCTCTGAGCGAGGGTAGAAGTTGCAAAGCGAATTGTTGGCCAGTGAAAGGAACAGTCCTTGTGCCTCGAGGACACAGAAGCAACAGTCCTCGCTCCTCCATGCAGAAACTTTCACGGAAGGTAATTCTGTACTTTGCTTCTCTACAGTTTGGTCCAACACAATGTGTGACATTTTGGTTGAGTCATAATGCTAAGAAAGCAGGTTTTGTTTCAAGGGCAAAACTCTTCTAGTGGAAAATTCCTTTATCATTCAATGGAGAATAATAACCTCTCTGCAGAATTTTTACACTGTTGCATAGCATTTTAGCAACTATAGTTTTGTTAGAATTCTGTAGGATGAGGTATATTCTGTACCAGAGGCGTTATTTTATCAAATGCTGTAATTTTTTTGTTTTTCAACAGTATCACATAGACTCTTTTTAACTCAGAAATCCCTTCTCCTCATCGTGTGTGAGCCTGTGATGATGCACAGATGCCACCAGCTGTCCTAAGAAGGGTGAAAGTGTCCTCCCAAACCAAATGTAACAGACTACTGGAACTGTAATGTACAGTGTCTGATCAGAGGCACAAGGTAATTTGCTGTGCCAGTGCTAAGGCTCCTAGCAAAATTTTAGGTTGTCTCAAAGAGAAAGGCTACATTAATACTATGAGTGTTACAGATTTGTAGATGCAGCAACTGCACGTCTGCCTTTCTTCACATTTCTCTGTTTCATGGTAGGTGCTTTCTGTGCTTTCAGAATTTTGCTCTTGCTCGCAGTGCTGGTAAGTTGTTAGTCAATAAAAGAGAAATATTTTTAAAAGTCTCTTTGTGTTTTAGAAAAGTCTCATTTTCATTAATTTTTTGCATTGTCTGAGATTCTAGTAAAAGTCTTGGGTAGGTTTTTGATACTTCTTTTGGTAAAGCAGAATGCTCAGCTTGATTGACATTAATTTGCATGTGTCTGTGAAGGTTGAGATAGACCTGGCCACTAAAATTTAGTCCTTAACAACTTTTATTCAGGGTTCTGCCCATGTAATCTAATTCTGGCTATGTTCACTTCAAGTGAGTGAATGAAGATTTGCATTGATACCTTTCCTTTCTGTTTATGGCTGCTTCACAACACGTAAGTTGTAAGAGTGATCCTGGTAAGGAGTGTTGCAGTCAAGATCAAAACTGCTGAGCAAAGCTAAACTGCTGATGGTTTCCAGCTATGTTCAGAAATCATGGGACATGGCAGTAGGCACCAAAAGTACAGTTCATGGTTCTGTGATAGTAAAGTTAGAGCAAGACCCCATACTATTATTATACTATAATATGTACTACTGCAGATTTATTTTGTGATTTTTTTTGTTGTTGTTTTTACTCTAGCCCTGCTGCCACAGCAGTCATATCGTTGGCATTTGGACGTTACATTTTGGAACCTTTCTTTATGCAGTGTGAAATCCCAGAACTTGCGATTAAACTTATTACAGCTGTTGGCATCAGTAAGTATCCAATTTTAGGTTTCAGGGAAGGCTAGATATGATGTTAAAAAAAAAAAAAGGCAATCGTACACTGAACAGGTAGTAGTTTGATGTGAATCATTTCAGAATGAATGTGCATCCAGTGCCAAGGGCATTAGTGTGACTTTTTGCCTGAGTATGTGTGCTTGTGAACATACGCAGTAGTAAAAAGAACAGCAGACTTTATTAATGGCAGGGAAAATCTATTGCCAAGCCTGACTCTGTTGCCACTTGAATTAATGGCAGAACTCTCATTACTTTTTGGAAGCAATTTCAGTCCCTAAGAGATGGTGAGCCAGTGAGAGAGATATGGAAGAATGATTACCTGATTTTAAGTGCTTTGCTCTACCTCTGTTTTAGGAGGCAATCGAGTGCCAAGTATGATGCCATGAAGAAATGTATTTCTCTTGAGTGGAGCACAGGCAACATGAGATCATCTTCCCTAGTCTCACTCTGTCCTGCGCAGCAATAAAACTTATTGAGGCACTTGTGTTTCAGGAAGCAGAAACCCAACTGATGACTTTGGAAGCAGGGTGTACAGTTTGGTGAAAATTAGTGTCTGTCACCAATTTCTTGTCTTACTCTTGCTAATGTTGCAATTAGTGTAAAGGGGATAATTTAGGTCTACAAGGAACCAATAATTGCTAATGGAAGGAGGGCGGCTACCCTGAGACCCGGAGCTTTGCAGTTTACCTAGGCTGGTGTAGGAGGCTGCATGAAGCGAGAACACACAAATCTTGATTCGAATCCGACTCTGGAGCTGTGCGCTTGTTGTGCTAGAGGCTTGTTTCCAATTCTGGTCACTGGAGATGATGCTCCTGGCACATGTGCACAAACGCTCGCATTCAGCTGTGCTGGGAGGACAGTGCACAGATGACCTGAGTTATTAGTAACAGATTGTTCCTTTCAATTTGGTCAGCGTGCATATCAGAAGCAAAAGGACTGGAAAAAGGAATTAAGGCATGCAAAAGGATCAAAGGCATGCAGGAGACCCCTTTAGTTTTGCACAATAATAGGTTCAGACGAGTTTTTCTTTCTTTGGCATAGAGAGTTCAATTAACATTGAAATTTCCAGTCTCCAGGTTACTGTGGCTTTTTGCGGGAGCTCTCTTGATAAGAGCTTCCTTTTGCCAAGAGTGTTAAAAATATCAGTATGTGACCACGTTTCTTTCTAACTTAATTATGTACAAACTACAGGTTTCATAGGAATAATTGAATTAAGGGCTTGAATTTTGAGGTCAATGACTTTTTATAGCTACATCTGTCTAAAATATTTCAGTGCAAGATAAGGGTGAAACAGATGTTCAGTAACTTCAAGGTCACTGAGAGAGAAGGAATGTTAAGTGAGGCCTCCATCAAAGCGTTTTGTTAAGTGCTTGTGATACAAGCACAATAAATGAACAATTTGAAATAGCTTTTTATTGCTTTTAATTTAATTGAAAATCTGTGTGATAAGGCAGGGCTTCACAAAGTAATTAAACAAAGAATTAGCATTGCAGGAGGGGTGGAGTTATGCTGAAATAATTACAGCCTAAAGGGAGAGAGAAGTTGAGAGCAGACTGTTCCTATGGTGACCGCAGGTCTGTGCAGCACAGGTAGGGTAGAGCTGTCAGTTCACCGAAAAAAGGGATTCTTGCAGAAAGTTTGGAACTGTGAATGGGACAATGCTGTGGAAAACAGTGATGTGTCAGACTGAGGCTTTATCTTTATTCTTTGTAACGTGCTCTACAGTGGAGTTTCATTTGCTGTAGTTTTTGATCATAAGCTACACTTCAGCTCAGGGATCTGAAGTGTATGACTTATTCTTGTATGGTAAGAGTTAGCTGTTGTGGTGGTAATTGCGATGAAGGTTTTGTATTGTGCATGTAGGCAGAGTGATAGTCAAGATTGAGGTGTTCTTGAGCTGAAAAGACACACTGCAGCCCTGAAAATCTTACAATCCAATTTAGCAGTGCCAAAGGTAGTGCTTGCTTCCACTGAAAATTTTGAGTTAATCAGAAAGTGAACTGATGTGCTGTTTGTCTTCTTATCCACTCTTGGTCCCTTCTCCCTCCTGACGACAGAGTCCTCGCTGCATATCTATCTTTATTGCATGACGGAAAGATAGTAGGAAGCATCATTAAACTCTGTCTGTGGATGAGACTTTGTTCTGTAGTTTCACCTTGTCGTTTCTGATCATACTATAAAGGGCAGGAAGAGATTTGGAAAAATCTCCAGGTGATCTCCTGCCCCAGACACGGTTAATGAGTCTAAACAATTTCTGACAGATGTTTGTCTGAACTGGTCTTCAAACCTTCAGTGAGGGAGTTTTCTAGAGCCTCATCTAATATTATAGCCCAGCTTTTTCTGTCATTGTCACAAGAAAGCTTTTTTTTCCTCTCTCTCTCTCTTTTTTTTTTTTTAATCCTCTCCACCTAAACTTCCTTTCCTGCACTTTAAGCTTATTATTAAAAGGTTGCCTGAGATGGATGCAACCAGGATTATGATGGGAAGTGGCAGATACTGTTGCTTCTCTACCAGCTGTCAACAAGGACTACTCGAAGAGGGACTATAGCCCATTCTGCTGCCCACCATTCCACCTCAGTACTTCTGTGGAAAAAAAGAAATAATGGTGCTGCAAAGCAGATGTAGATCAGATGAGAACTAAACTGGAACTACCAGGGATGGTGACCTTTAAAAAAACCCCTCAATCTTGGTTTATTATTTATAGGGAAAAAAACATGTGCTAGGCACAAAATTCCCCTCAAAATCACATCTGTTCTGAGCAATCTGTAAAACCAAATTTTCTGTTCTATGATATGGTGGGAGGTTTTTTTTTTGTTTTGTTTGTTTGATTGTTTAAATTTTTCCTTAAAAAACACCAACGAACTAAAAAGTCCAAACATTTCAGTGAACTGGTAGAGGGAAAGATGCTTGTGTGGAAGTTCTCTTCAGATACCCCAGCACTCTGAGCCTCTGTGCAGCAAAGAATGCCTGCTCTTTGCAAACTTATATAACACTAATTCACTTGACATTTTTCAAGTGAATCTCTGCAAGGAGAAAAACCTAGGCAAATATAGGATATGCATATCTCAATCTATCTGTCAGTCTGCTGTAAACTTTTTGTAAACTCTATCAATTTCACTGGACCTGAGAGAAAAGCAGACATCTCTCATATGCAGCAGGAAGAGATAAATTATACTGTGCAAAGGTGTTGAACTGTACTATCAGTATGTAGCCTGAATAGATACACACTCTTAACTGAGCCTGTTCTAATCTTTTCACTTGACCTCCATATCAGAAAGCAGATAAACAGGTCTCTGCTATTAAAACTGTGAGACTGAGAGCAGGTTACCTACTTGCATACGTTTTAAAAGTTTTTTACACTCATTCATGCTTATTTTGGGCCATTCACGCCACCATAATGTATAATTTTTCCCCTTTCTTTAGGAGGTCTGCAAAAAAACCCAGATACCCCAAACTATGGCTCTTAGAAAGAGGCAATATTATGCTTGAAAACTGATCTAGCAGTGCTTGCTGGCAAATACTCCAGGCCAAATCTTTATTAGCATAAATTTGGTGTGCATGTGAGTCTATGGTTAGTTGCTTTTTTTCCCCCCACCATCATGGCAAATGTTACAGACATTCCTCTCTCCCGCTGACAGTTTTCAGACAAGCAGTTCAAATTAAGACATCTCTTAGCTTGCAGGGATAGCAAAAGCTGCTCTGATGGGTGCTTTTGTGCCTTCTGTGACTTGGTTTTAATTGATGCATTAGAATTTGCGAATTGAGGGTATTTTTTGCTTTGTGTGATTTCATTGACCCTAAAAGCCTGACAAGTTAGGGGAGGGTTGTTTCCTTGGTTTCCTGCCGAGGCAATGGTACATATATTCCTGAAAAGTGGGCCAGGATGTAATGTTTACTGCTGCTTCTCTCACTAGATTTTGTTATCCATTTATAGCTGTGGCTGTGCGAAGGAAAAAGATTGTGAAAAGCAACATGATCGGTGTTACCCTTGTGTTTGATTGTTCATGAACCCCACTCTGTTCTCCCTCCATACTCTCCTCATTTACGATTCATCTCACTTTTAGTTAGGTATTTAACTTAAGGTAATTGCCTGTGCCCCTTATAAAGTTAGAGGAGCAAGAGGGGAAGAGACACTTCCTGAAAGCAACTCATCTCGTCTGAAATAGCACCTGAAAGAGGTGTATTCATCCTCTGGAGGTAACTGTCTCTTCACTGAGTATGAAGCCATAATAGATGCCTGACTTTTAGTTAGCAAATGTAGGGATGAGTCCTACTTTCACTGCCCTTTTGTCTGGGAAGTATCTGCTTCCTTCTGATCTTTGCTGTCATCCTGTGTCAAAGTGTCTGCAATCAGCTTCTTGAAGTATCTCCAGAAGACCCTATTCATAGAAGAGTGGTGTTGAACAATGACCGTAGTCCCAATGTATAATTTCCATCTTGAATCCTGGCACAGTTCTCATGTTTCTTCCCTGCCTTTAACTATCCAGTTGCTAACACAACCTGTATGGTGCTGACATGTGGTAAAAGTAGACGCACATCCCTGTTTTGTACATACAACTGCTAAGGCTAAATATTATAAGATGACTGTAAATTCTTACAACATATTAAGTTCAATAAAATAAAATTCCCCAAAAAATGCCACATTGGTCTCAAAGTCTTCCAAGAACTTAAGTCTCAGCCCTGCAATCTTAATTGCTACATTTGCACAGTTGCCCAACTCTGCAAGGGACTTAGGTTTATCAAGGACCACCAAACCTAATGGCACGTGCACTGGACTGACTGCAGGTGCAATGTTCCTTCAGGTTCTCCATTAAATGAAGGTTCTTGCAGAGTCTGTTTTGCTCTTGCGATTTTATTAGAAAGCCTCAGATGAAACATTTTACTGGCTTGAACTCACAGTAAAGGATGGAGAAGGTTCCTGTTCACAAGCAGATTTTCTTCATGAAAAGAACAAAAATCTTTATTTCTTTATTTCAAGCCAGTGTGACTCTCATACTGATTTGTAGTTTCTGAGTAGTGTGTTGCTGGCCAGCAAGGAGGGTTATGAATTTCTGTGTGGGTTGGCTTTAGTTTTTGTACTAGTTTGCCATCCAGTGACATTCTCACATGTGTATCAGGAAGATGAAACTGATGCATTAAAAAATCTCTAGGAGGGGTCTCTGCAAGGAGGATGCTTACATTACCTGTTCTGACCAGAGTAAGGTAACAGACCTATTGCTGCAGTGAGCTTGAACTCTGAATAAGCTCAATGTCAAACCGCAGATACTGTCTTGCACTTTAAAATCTTCCTTGACATTTTCCTGTGGCCCAGTCCCTGCCTGGGCTTTGTCTTCTGTGAAAGAAAAGTACAACACACTGAAATTTCCAGGAAATTTGAAATAAGCTAGTGCTTGTTTATGGCGTTGCGTTTTCTTCATAACCTAAACACCGCTGGCCAAAAGAGTATTTTAAATATATTTTGCTTAAGTGACAGTTGTTAACCTTTTTAAACTTTTTCAAGTTTAAATCAAGTCCTAGGAAAAGATGGGGAACCTCAATAGGCACTAAAATTCAGCAGCAACCTAAAAGATTTCAAGATTTCAAGATTTCAAGATTTCAAGATTTCAAGATTTGAATAAGTGAAGTTATGTCAGGGTAGTATTGGGACAATAGAATAATAACTCGGACCCCTGAGATTTTCTATTTCCTGCCAAGTATACGCATACATAGAAGTAATAAAGCAAAAGAAATAAATACTTGGATCGAGTGATACCTTGCAGAAGTTGGGGTGATTTCTTTGTGACTCAGAAAAGAACACCTCAGTTCTGAAAGATGATGAAATACAGAATTGGGAAAACATTTTGACCTCTAAGATCTCTTTTGGTGGAAAAATTCACATTAAGTGATATTGCACATTTATGCTGAATTTTGAAAATTGTTCATTTATGTGTGGGGTCCTCTCTTTCCCAAATAAAAATTCAAGAAAATACTTTTTATCTATATTTTTTAAGATTTTAATTTTACTTCAAATACCTAAAAATCTTTTGGAATGCACATTACTGGGCATTTTATCCCTTTTGCATTAAATTAAAACTACTTTGTGTTTAGACTTATAAAATTTTTTTATTATATATTTATTGGCCTTGCTGGTGGACAGAATTTGTATAAAAGGCATGGGATAATTCAGCAGGTTTTACTGCCAGAAATCTTATATCATAGAATGTTTTTGGTTGGAAGAGACCTTTAGATGTCATCTAGCCACCCTCCTGCAGTGAGCAGAGACATCCTGAACTAGATCAGGTTGCTCAGAAGAGCCCTGTCCAACCTGACCTTGAATGTTTCTAGGGATTGGGCATCTACCACTTCTCTGGGCAACCTGTTCTGGTGTTTCACCACTGTTATAGTAAAAAATGAAAAAATGTATTCCTATAGCTAATCCAAATCTTTCAGTATAAATCTGTTGCCCCTATTGCAACAGTCCCTGCCGAAATGATTGTCCCCACCACACCAGGCTTACAATGCTAGCTAATAAAAACTAGTTTCCGGACCCTGGTGGGAAATTGCAACTTTTGTTTCTGTACCCCATGATGTGTGATATAGTTGATGATACAGACAAACCAGTGCTCTTGAGAGAGTTTGAAGACTGTGATGAGGAGCTAATTCATTAAGTGCATATGATGGCAAGAGAGAGATCGGTGAGCAGGCTTGTCTTGCCATGTTCAGCTGCCTCCGCAGCAGAGCAGGAAAAGGGCTTTCTGTCTGGTGAAATGACTCATATTTTCCATTATGTAGGTAAATACTTTTTCTAAATATCTAAATTCCTTTATTGATTCTGCTTTGTTAGGTTAATTGTTTAAATAATCTAGATTAACTCACTCTCAAAATACAAAACCAACTATTCTCCTGTTAGTCAGTGCTGTAGTAAAGATCAGAAAATGCCCTCCCTGACCCAGAAGGAGATGCGAGCCAAGCAAGCAGGATGTAAAAGCACTTCTCACTTATGTCTCTACATGTTGGTGAGACACAGACCTGGGCTTTGTTTCCAAGTAAAAGGTCTCTGTTTCCTCACCAATTCCCAACAAGGACAGGCACATTGCTTGTACTTTGACCCTCCTGCATCTCTGGTGGTACAGTTGTAAGGGAGAAGAAAGAGTGAAGAAGAGGAGTGAATGTAAATAAGGTGACAAATTTATGTGGGGGCTAAATGGGGGTGAGAAAGTTTAATATGACTATTAATTGTTATTGTTTTCTGAAAATTCAGATCTCTAATCACACTGGCACTGATACAGAAATCTGGAATGACAGGAGTTGGGCAATTAATTTATTTCATACAAGGCAGGGTCCTGCCAGCCCATCATCTACCGATAGCTAACTATTCTGGGTAACTGAAGCTTCAATTTGGTGCAAAGGGAGCCAGACAGAGAATGGAGAGATGGATAGGCCATGCAGTGGGTCAGACACAGGGGGTCAACTCAACTGTTTCATACAGCATCTGGAAGGGGAATGTGAGAAGTGGGAGGGGAGCAGCTGGAGAAGGTTATCTGGGTATATCTCCTTTAATGCATCAGGATCTATTGTTTGTGTGACTTCTCTGCTGGCAGAGAGTTTTGTGGTGATTTCTGTGGATTTATTTCTGACTTTTCTTTTTCGTTTTGCAGCGCTGGTTATGGTCCTGAATAGCACGAGTGTCAGCTGGAGTGCCCGCATTCAGATTTTCCTTACCTTTTGCAAGCTTGTAGCAATTCTGATAATTATAGTCCCTGGAGTTATCCAGCTAATTAAAGGTATGAAATGAAAAGTAAATGCTTTTAAAGTGCTTTTATCTTTGCCCTCCCCAGTCTTTCCATACCTGCCTACACCAAATAATGCTTATAGTAGCAAAATCTCTTAATTAGCCTGTGCTTGTTGAAATGAAGCTCTGTACTGTCATGTAATTGATTAGAAGTGGAACTACACTGGGATGAACTGGTATTTCCTTCAGCATGCCAATGAGTCTATTCAAATCAGACTCAGGTTTTCAAAATGAGTGACAGGATCATTCTTCTCTATAAATTGCCTTTGGTGTGAACTTTGTAAAAGGGGCAGGATCAGTTTTAATGACAGATGAACATATTTCTCCCCAAAGCACACTTCTAGTCCAGACAGAATATGTCTCTTTTTAAACCAGGTTAGTTCCTAGTCCTGTTTGGTGCTGGGTATGTGGTGGTGGAAGGAGTCAGAATTGAGGAATATATAAAAGAAACAAATGCATGCTGTTCTGCCACTTTGTGATGTGAATTGTGAAGTTAAAGGTGCTGTACTGGCAAAAGAAACTGTAGCTAGCTATTGCTTTTGTGGGCTTCCTGCCTGCGAGTACTGGATGATCACGCTGCATGCGTGCTTTACTTCTTCCAAGTGAAAAGCTAAAGCATACAGCTAAAGACAATAGTTGGGGGCTAACCCAAGCATAGGAAAGGAAAGCAGAAGTGTTTGGAGGGCCAGAATCGCTCTGCAGATACTGTTCTGCATAAGCAAGGAGTGTGAAAACACCCCCTTGTTCTCTGTAGCTGCACCCAGCAGGGCCATGACTGTGCAGGCCTTTCCTTGGCTCTCTGGAAGTCATCTGGGTAAAGCCACGCTGGCAGATAAACTCTCTTTGCTGACACACCCTCAGCCACCTGAAGAGGCTCTTCCATTAGAGCCCTATCAGCAGCAGGTGTGAGATGGCAACAGGCCCCAGCTTACTCTCCTCACAACAGCACCAGATAATGACTACACAAAGCATGAGGAGCCATTCAGCACAGAGGGTTGGAGAGGGGAACACTTTTTAATGAATTGGTGGCAGACTTTATTTAACAAAAACTATCACAGTGGTTGGCTTGGTCCCTGTGGATGCTCTTTTATGGTGCTTCACAAAGCCTCCCATCTGAGTCAACAGCTCAGCATTAGGCTCTGCAGTGTGCTCAGAGTTTCTCAGGGACAGGCAGCTCTCTGTGGTTAGCAATAGGCTCTGAAAGAAAAGTATTCCTGTGTAGCGCTCTGCTGATTCACTATTTCTGTTTTCATGTTTTTCACTTCCTTTCTGGCAATTGCAATGCCTCTTCCCTCACCTCCTTTCATGTGCAAAATATCTTTCTCCCTATCTGTCCCATTTTTCCTAGACTTTTGGAGCAGGCCAGACCCAGGTTTGGATGGGTTTTACTGCCCTTAAGTAGCTCAGATAGCGTCCCTGATTCCTCACTGGGACCTTCCTCTGGCTACAGTTCCTCAACCAAAAAGTCTCTGCCTCAGTGGGAATTTTAACGGAGGGCTCATTAAAAACTGAGTTAAGGGTAGATGATTTGACCCATTGCTAATTTAAGTCTGGATGAATTCTGCTTCTTCCTGCTCCTTTTCTGTGGAGGATCATTGCTTTCATTTTCTCAGGAAATTTGGGATAACTTAGGGAGTTCTTACTAACCACAGAGCACCTTGTAAATGAGTAAGAGCATAACACAACTCTTACATGTATGCTTTTATAGATGTATAATTCTTACTTAGTGTAATGTTAATATAGTATTGACTATAGCGTGGTAGGGAGTTACTAGTTTTCTTTCAGTGGTAGAAATGTTTGAAAGTTTGGGTTTGTTTAGCTTAAATTTGTTGCTACTGAGTGAAAAGCTAGCAATGTTCCTTCTGATTAAAATGTTAAACAAGTGGAATTTTCCACAGGAAAAAACTGCAGAGCTTATTCTGCTCTTTCATGTTGATATAAGTCATTGCTGGAGATGATAGTGCAGTGAGTATCATCAAGCTCAGAATTGCTTTGAAAAAAAAGTAATAGGTCAAATTCTGCTGTTGCATGACTAGGGACACCACAAAACCTTTTACAATTGCTGCCAGGTTATGGCTGCAAGGGTTGGGTCAGAAATGAAGGTCAAAGGCAGAACTTGAAGTCAGTGAATTGTTGGGTGATTAAATGTTCCATGGTGCGATATATTTATTTGTTTTAAAGTAGTAGGAGACCAAAGAGCTTACTTTTCAATGTTATTTTTGTTGATGTTGCAGGAGAAACACAGCACTTTAAAAATGCCTTCGCGGGGAATGATGCCAGTGTTATGGGATTACCACTTGCTTTTTATTCAGGAATGTATGCCTATTCAGGCTGGTAAGTTGTTGAAACCTGTAAGTATTTGTCCTGAAAACAGACACTAATATGCTCTAACAAAGATGTTTGTTTATATGAAGAAATTAGTAGTGCATACTGCATGTTTTGCCAAAGTACATCATGTAGTAAGGGTAGGTCTTATCACTGTTCCATATGCTCAGTAGTCATTCTGCAAGCAGCTCTACAAAGGAAAGACTTTTCTTCTACAGTGCACAATAGGTAAACCCTCACTGAACACTAGAAAAGATTTTTACTTTTATTTTTATTCTTAAGACTAAAGGCAGCAATAAAGTTATGTTCTTAAGTTTTCATTAGGTTTTTGATAAAAGGGATAATGAATCTTTACTTTTGGTTGAACAAGTCAGTAATTACATGAAAAATACATCTGTGAACTGTTACAAAATTGTGAGTCTCTATCCCACTTGTGTGAGCCTTAACCTTTGCTTCATAAAATCAGTACGTGAAGAATAAGAAGCAAACTATGATAGCTTCAGTATAGATCACAAAACAAGGTAAAAACTAGATTCCTACGCCTTTTGCTCTGACAGAATTGGATCTCACTTAAGAAGTGCAACTTCCATATAAGTCAAGTGCTATTGACTGTGAGCAAAGGTATGAGAATCTCCCTTCAAGTATCCTGCTCAGAACTTTCTTTCAAGTTCTTTCCTTCTCCCCCACCAAAGTACACAGCAGCTGGTTTGAAAGGCGCTGCTGCTCTTCAAATCTGCCTTACAATTTATTCGTGCTTAGTGAGGGCTCCACATTGCACAGTGCCAACCTGCTTTTGCAGCAGCAGTGTGGGGGGGAAAAAAGAGACTACAATGCCCAAAGTGGGCTTGTTTTGAGATAGCTTTGTCTGCAGGTCTTCCCTTTCCTTTCCATAGCCTCACAGGCAGCCAAGTTCTTTACTTTGCACAAAAGGCGAGGGCTGAAAGATAAGGGTTTTATTTATTTAATTCAGAGGCACAATGGGCTGAGCATTTGAGTTCTCTGCTGGTCTGTAACTCCCTGGTCGCAGGGGCATTATAAACATGCACACTGAAGTATGGGAAAGAACTTTTACATTAAATGGTGGGGGGCGAAACCCAAGAGAATCTAAAGCATTTATCTGTGATAGATATATAAGAAAAGAGCCTGGCATTTTGAAGCCTCAAAGAAATTGAACTCATTATGCCGACAGTCTCTAGCTTCTTCCTGCTCTCCCATATAACCGTCTCTGTCTCTCTTATCCACACATGTGTTGCTTTCTCACTGTTAAAATATTAACATAACTGTACATTTTTGTATGATCACAATTTTAAAAGCTCTTTCATATCACTGAGGCAGAGTCTGTTTACTGTAAAATGCTACATCAAAAATAGTTCTTTTGTTGCTTCTTTCCCATTTCTTTCCATTTTCCACGTAACATTCCAAACCCCTACAGTAAAAACCATCTCTATTTTTCCTTTACACCTTCCGATTTTTATTTCAAGGTCCTTATTTGCCACTTATAAAAGAAATTAGCAGGAAAAGATCTAATTTGGCTAGTGGTTCTTCCCAGCTACCTATTTGTCTTTGTCACCGGCTCAAACTGATTGCCTCAGAGCACAGAAGAGCAGACCATTAAGCGGAGTGTCAATACCCTTGCACTGTCAGTTTCATGGAGCTAAATCAATCCAATAAGCTGAATGTGAGGGAGTGTTGCAAGTGGTGGTGGTGTGTCCCAGGACGCGGGCAGAATTTTATGCATAGCCTGTGAGACTATTAAATTTTAATGACACAGCTTTAAAAAGCAAAACAAAAGTAGTATCGCTTAGATGTGTGGGTTCATCCTGCAAAGAGCTAGTGTAGACTACTGAGTATATAAAATGCTGGGTGAGAAAGAACAAGTAAAGAAAAGAGTGCAAGGAAGCATGTCTTAGCGTTAGTAAAATGACTGATGCAGGGCTATCAAACTACTTCTGTCTAAGGACTAAGACCAGAAAGAAGTAGCTGAATGTCTTACTCGTCAGAAGCCATCGCTCCTCTGAACTATCCCACCCTCCTCTGTGCACTAGCAAGTTTGGAAACAAGTACTGAAGTGCTTGTATAAATTTGCAAATCTAGCTTTACAGCATTTCATACTTAGTCACAAAATCACATTTTTTAACACTGTGTGCTAGCGCTAAGTCATTCTGTGAAGCCAGATGTGGTCCAAGACTTGTGATGGAGAAAATTTCCCAAACTTTCTAACAGATCAGATACCATTTGTTTATTCACTATAGCACTGTTGGGTCAAATATCATTTGTCTTCCTATATCTATCCTAAAAGTAGAAAGCCAGCAAAAGCTCTATATTGACTGCTCTGTTTAATTAGCCAGGATGTGGCTTTGTGCCTGTATCTGAGCCAGGCACATCTGTGTGATCTAGTGATGCACAGACCGAGTGCTAATAAATGCAGAACAGTGGGTTCAGTGACCTTGATGCTTGTGGGTGCTTTGTATGCAGGGCTGTGCCTGGAGAGCAGTTCCTATGAATTCCCATATGTAGCCATCTCTTGCTGGAATATGACTAGAGTGCAACCTGCACTGGAGGTTGTGCAAGAGCATGCAGGATTAGCAGCCTGGGTTTGTGATCGTACACAACAGACTAGTGTCAAAATCCTGGTTTTTGATGCATTTTTGTGATGCTTGATTTATTTTTATTGTTTAGAAGTCCTTGCTGAGTACCCTGCTGAGGATTTTTGCCAATACAACTCAAAATTGTAAAAGGCTAGAGCCACAAATGGAATATGAGGCTTGAGGGTGCGTTTGTGTATAGGATTAGGGTAAACCATAATTTGCCAAGCATGCCTGTGAAAAAAAAAGTAATTTCATTTCACATTGACATTACATAGCTTTTGTCTTTTTTTCTACTTTGCTGTCTTTTCTAAGAATTCAAAAGCAGGCTTCCTTGAGTGTGGGGATGAGGGAAGGTTAAATCTTACACTCTCCTTAATCCAGACACCGGTCCGCAAAGTCTACTATAATTAACAGCAGTACTTAACTATAAAAGCATCTTGATTTCTTGGGAAAGAAATACAGATCAAAATTTACCAAGCCCTTATAGTATATTTTATAACTCTTTTCTAGGTTTTACCTCAATTTTGTTACTGAAGAAGTGGAAAACCCTGAAAAGTACGTACATAATGTTTTTCTTGACTTTTGAGAAAAGACTGTAGTATTTAAAATGCTATGAAAGTAGTGATCTTCAGAAATTCTGCATGCTGGTCAAGTTGCTTGCTTTCCAGCAGATCTGGTATCTATTTGAATTGCAGCTGTTTGAAGATTTGCTATTTTTGGCCTGCCATGACCTTGTTATGTATTCTGCTTTTATGTGCACAGAAAGCAGAAAACTAAGTAGATCTCCAGGGCTCTGATTCTCCCCCTCAGGATACAAGTAAGTATCAGTGGCTCCTTTCAGTGGAAGTTACTGGTATCCTGTCAGGGAAATCTTGCCCAAGAAACTTAACTGCTGCAGTATTTGGCAGTTTTGCTGTGTTTAAATATTAATCAAATACTTAGTTCTACTTGTTTAAGAAGTCTCAGAATTGCAGAATCTTGAATACACATAGCAGAGCATCCGATCCAATTAAGCTGAACAGGAAATATTGGTGGGAGTCTGTTTCAAACCATAGATGAATACTCTCACAGCTCCTGTCTGTAAAATATGGAAAGAAAAGCTATATTATTACAGAGAGTTTGATTTGGCAGACCTATTTTGGTAGGTATGTTTTGGTACATGTGGCCAATAATGAAACAGTATTAAACTTTTCTGAAAATTAAAGAAAATATGCCTTGTCAAATCAAATTTTGTTCTTTGAGAAAGTTAACAATTTACTTGGTTAAAAATTACCTGATGTAATTTTCTTAGTTTTTTTCAAATAAGATACCTGGTTGGGCACCAAAGAACTTACTATTTAAAAAGATCCCCAGCACTGTACCTTCAGAGAATACAAACCCACATATTTGAGACATGTAAAGAAAGAAAAATCCCCAAACTGGGATTGGTGAGGATCATGCGGAAGGTTTTTAGTTGGTTTCTTTGAAGTCTGAACCAAGCCTGGTTGTGTTTGGTATTTTCATCAGAGACCTGAAAATAATTATAAAGAAATTGATGCTGAAACATGAGGATGGCAGAAAGGCTGGCAGGTTTCCATTGTTTCAGTGCCTTTGAGGAGTCTTAGGTGTTAACAGGCTCTTTAAATATGATCAGAACATGTATGACAAAGAATATGACTGGAAGGTGAACCCAGACAAATGCAAGTAGAAAATACAGCATTAATATTTAACAAGGTGATTGACTAATCATTAGCATGGATTCCTAGGTACACTTGTGTTCTTCGTTGGTAGTCTTCAGTTCAGATGGAACACCTCCTTAGAAGTCACGCTGTAGTAAAACACAAGTCATTTGGCTCAGAGGAAAGCAGCTGGCTAATGCTTCCCAGTCCTGTGACACAGGGGAACTCAGGCTAGGTGATCTAATAGCAAATCTGAGTTTAACCACCAAAAAACCGTTCACTTTAAAAATTCAGGGAAGGAAGAAATTTTTTTAAAAACCTCACTTTTTCTTACTTTTGAAAAATCATATGGCAGACTGACATGAAAGGAAATATGAAATTAAATAAAGGAATAAAGTGGTCCAAGATTTTGACTGCTTCAGGAGATTCTAGGGAGATCAGTTAGGAGCCAGCGTCTTGGTGATGTGATCAAAAGCATTTCCTAGAAGCAAAATAATACATAAATTATCATGTGGTTACCGTCAATACAGTGTGATGTTTTTGAACATGCACATGCCTACCACCCTCTGGGACTTTTCATACACTTACGTGTCTCTACAGTCCTTTAACTGTATGGTGACTAACGGAAATTATCGGTAATTTTCATTATAGCTATTTTGGTTTATATTGACTTATTTTCTTGTGGTTTGAGTCAGAGGAATGCATATTTTTGAACATGTTTCCCTCTACTGTGTAGGACATAAAGGCATAGTTCCTTATTTCTTTTTAACTAAGTTCCCTTTGAAACGTATCACAGCTAAGAAAAGTGGCGTGAGTTAGGTTTGAGGATTTTCTCCTCTTTTTGGAGTTTGTTAATTGTACTGCTAGTGGGAATGCAGGATGAGAGGGCAAGCAACATAGCCTGGCTGGTTTGATGTATTCCCAGGTGTCTCTGGAAAAAACAGCTCAGTGTTACATGTGCAATGTTGTCACAAAGCTGTTAAGGCTTCCCTTCACCACTCTTCTTCTCAGGGTTGCACTTTGAGAGGACTAGAAAGGAAGATGCCTAGCTTTTATAGTGGGGTGCCTGGGATCACAATCTCCACATGCAGTTACAGATATACAGTACAAGAAATTGGGATTTTAAACATTGCTAAATAACTGGCAGGTGATTGCGTGGCAGGACAAGTGGATTGCTACCTGCTGTGCTGATGGAGACCTCTATGCCACCTGTAAATGGGGATGCTGGACTCTGTTAACCTGAAACGAGCAATTAAGTGAAATAGTTGGAGTATTTTTTATCCAGTTGCCACCTGTGAATGGCTCTGATAGAAAGACATCTTGCTGATTTGGAGCCTGTACTGCCACCATTTTCAAAGATACAGGGCAAGGGAATAGCATGGACTAATTCCAGCGGTATCTCTCTCAGCTCCCACCAAACTCAGTGCAGGCATTAGGTAAACCACAAATCGTGCTGCTGTTGTAGGGATTTATTAGAACTCAACTGTTTTTTTATTATTTTGTTTTCCACCTAAAATGCTGACTTTCCTTTCATTCTTGTTGCATACCTTTTGTTAAAGTTTGTATATAATGCTGTGGAGATACTATGTATTGTTTTTAAAAAGGAAGAGGGAAGCATAGATTTGAACCATTTAGAGTTTGTAATTGCTGTGCAATTTGTAATGTTTGTCAATGGTTAGGGATGCAAATTACTTACAGTGACAGAGGTGAATGCAATGATGCCTTTTGCACCGTGTGTGCCAAGGTAAATATTTGTCTGAGAATCAGTCACAGTTGCGTATTTCCAGGTGTGTGGCAGCTTTTAAAGTAACCGACAGCTGGTGCTGAGATGAACGATCAGCACTGTTCCCACATTAACCAGCCTTCTGCAAACCTGCACTGAAGTGTACTGAAAGAGCTGCGAGGAGAATAGCACAGGTACATCAGGGGGAATGCAGAAATGCTCTATTGGAGAGCTGCCAAGCACTCACGTTTGCGGGGACCTGGCTTTAGGCCCCTTTTTATCCAGTGAGTCCTGGACTCCCTCTGTGCTCTTGTGGTATTGTGGAAGGCCAGAGCCCTAGAATATATCCTGAAATGCAAAGGAAGATGGAAAAATCTGCTTTTAGACAATAAAGTTTTCCAGATAGGGATTGCTTCATTTGCTGTGCTGTGTGCAGCACCAGGAAAGCTCGCTTGAGTGCAGCGAATGCCATTGGAAATGTAGGAGAGAGGCAGGAGAAAGGGGGATGGACGATTGTGACCTTGCCCAGCTGAAAGCTGCCTTTGTGCTCCTGTGAAGCAGCTGTTTGTACAGGCAGAAAGGGTTCTTGAAGGCTGTGGGAGTCTGTGTAGGTGCAGCAGCCTGCCTAGGTGCAATAAATTGCAGATTCTGATCTATAAATAGGATAAATACTATGGGCCTGAGGCACTGAGAGATACCTAGGCAATAGGAAATACAAGATAGAGCTGACACAGACACAGTGGAAATGAGCCAAGTGGAGAAGACGCGCCCTTTAAATTATGGAATGGAGAATAGAAAAAAGAAGAAAAAATCTGAAAGTGAATACCATTACTTTTTGAACAGAATTTTGGAAGTAGTGCTGATTCTCACTTTGGAAATTTCACAGTCCCTTCTTTTGTATAAGGAAAAGGACATTATTACAACTTCAGTTGTCACATGATGTAAAAGCTGTTTCTGCCTCCTGCTAAACCGCATTTTGATGTCTCATTTTTTAGCCTGGGCTCATTTCTTCATTACTCTTTGTTAAAGTGCTTCCCCCATACAGCATTAGTAGGACCTGAAGCAACATGAAGTTGATGTTTCTTTTACAAGGAGCTGTGGTTGCAGTGTTCAGCTGCTTTAATGTACATTTTTTTTTCAAATGAGCTTGAAATAAATTTATTATCAAGAATATGTGGAACAACATTGAAATGTAATAGCAAATTTCTTTTTTAGTTTTTTAAATTATGCTTCACATGTGTGTGCTAGGTCTATAGTGATTGCTGTTGGAAATGAAGTATCTGAATAATCCTTGAAGCAGGGCTTCACTAAAATAACCTCATGCATCCACACCATGTGCAGCTTTGATCTTTTTGATTTTCTTGCATTATAAGGATCAGTCCTACTCAAACTGAGGTCGAATTGTATTATCTAAATAATAAGTGAATGAAGGAACAGTCAGGTCTCTCAGAGAGAATTTGTCGCCTGAAAATTGACAGAAGCCATGTTGCCTGGAGCAGTAAATTTAGAGGACTGGAAATCAAGCATGTTGAACTTTCAAACTCATCTCTTATAGATAGTCTTTGAGCTCATCTGTATTCTTGAGCATCCACTCTGTTCTCTCAAGAAACAGTCCAAGCTTTTTCAATCAAGACCCTAAAAGCAGCTTGTGCCCAAACGGCACTTCCTTCTTCCCAGGTGGAGCATAGTCCAGATCAGCGCTCTAGTTTGTCAGGAATTTTGACGGACTCCACATGAGAAAAAAACACAGGAGTGTTTTTACATTACAGCACTGTCTTCAGAGTCTCGTCAAAGTCAGAGCCAGATTGTGTCAGATGCTGGCCAAAGGGAGCCCTGTTTTTAAAAAAATGATGTTCTATGTCCTCACCATGAGCAGGTGATGAGCCTGAAGGCTTCATGTTATAAAGATCAGGCTCTTGGTGGAAGAGAAAGAAAGTACTATTTCAATTTAAGAGAAGGAAAACTAAGACTTCATTCCTTAATGACTTCAAGGTAGTCTGTGATCAAGTAGGCAGCTAGGGGTATTGATTCATAGTCCTTCTTTACTCAAAATCATATTTCTTTGGCAATGTAAGTTTTTTTAAGTGTTGTTGAACTTAGAAAATATTTTTCCTTTAGTGGTCTTCAATTTCAGCTGTATAAAATGCTGAATAGATTTTTAAAGGATATAGAAT